ATATATTCTCTATATAGTTCAAAGTGCTTGTACAAAAACACGCACGCAGTGCTAATTACGGTTAAATCAATCGAGGTCATCACTGGCTGTTTGAATTCAGAAACCTCGCTAGATCTTTTCCACCAACCACAGTACCCGCCGCATTTCCATTCAGATCCCTTTCCAGATCCGACGATGGTGTTTTCTCTCATCGATTAGCATATCGCGTTTCATCATTAACATTCGCGATGCATACCAGTCCGTGAAACGTTTCGCGTATATCGTTGTGCGGACGCAACTTTCCGGACCGGAGTTGAATATTTCTTTCCCTCCCTCCCCCCCCCCTGCCCGCTCGGTTGCTTCATCGATCCTCTCCTTTCCACTCGAACGAACGCCAGAAAAATTTCATTCCGTCGACGAGAAGTCGCGGCGCGTAATCCACGCCATTGGTCCAGACTCGGGGGAGGGAGAGAGAGAGAGAGAGAGAGAGAAAAAAAGAACATAGAAAAAAAAGCACGCGAAGAAGAGATCTGACGGTAATGGAGAATTTTTGTGCAATTCATCATCATTGTCGTCGTCGTTGTCGTCGTCGCGTCTGTATCGAGGTTTTCTTCTTTTTTCATACGCATGTTGCTTCTACGACTTAACGACGCCACTGTGTCCTTTTGGCCTATTTGCAAGCTTACTAGGTAAGCCAGGATTTGTTAATTGCAATTAGAAACGACTAAAACTTCGCAACATTCTCAACGGCGAATCACCGTTGCCTCCTCGATTTCAATCTCATTTTCAGTCTTCCGTTTTGCACATCGAGATTGATATCGACATTATCCCGTGTGATCTCCGGTTTCTCAATTGTTTTCCCGCGTTTTTCTCGTTTTTTTCCATCGATCGATCCAAGTTAAAAACCAAGCGCGAGTTCGTCGTCTTTTTAATTCAACATTTCAGTCTTTCTAATCACGCGCGGCATCGTCTCGTGTGAATTTACTATTCGCGAGAAATGCAGGATTCCAGGCGAGCGTGCCGTAAATGAAAGGCTCGAGCAGGCTATTACGCGTTACACAGCATTATCTTCAATAGGTGCGCGTTATCTCGGGATTTATTGGTCCCGATTCGGCGAACACACGCCTCTGTAAATCCTCTTCTCGGCGTCTCGGTTACTCGACTACGTTCGTGGATACGAGAACGTGTCGAGATAAAGGCGAAAACGAGGCAAGCCTGCTCGATTGATCTCGACTTCCAAGGGGAAGTCTACGCAAATCCTTTCTTTCGCAAGGTTCGCTTATTGGGAACAGGCTACGGCCGCGAATTTACCTCACGCGTTTCCCTCGCACCGGTTTCGCGAAACGTTGTACACTCTCGTTCATAAGTATGTTAAGATGCTTTCAAACGAGAGACGACGACGATTAGCGAAGAGCCGCTCGAAACGATCGATTTGTTGACTTTGCTCGAAGGTTTATACAGATGCGGATATATTCGCAGACTTGGTGGAAAATTGTAAGATAGTTTCAACTGTTACCAACTTCGTGAAACAAAATCCAGTTGACCTCGTTTTAAAGCGTGAAACCTGTGCTTTATCAACCTTGAGTTCGTTTCTTCCAAAGATGTTTTTTGCACACCGTGCAGCAGGCGGCAGAACAAGCGTACATTTCATGCCGTCAAAAAATGTAAAAATTTGAAGCTTCTGCATAATCACAGGAAACTTCTTTCCATTATTACATCTACCATTATATCTTGAAGATCGATCTCTTAGAGCTTGCTGTGCGATATTTTTTCGTCGTCTTATTCAGCCTCAAACGTTAAAATTAAACGGCAAAGATTTAGCAAATCCAGTGTTCAAGATTCAATAAAATGGCGGCAGGAAATAGGAATTTTTAAAAAATCGAAGAGGAGACTTGAATCTTTAAGACCACAGTCATAAAAAGAGTTAACGTTTCTAAAGATATTTGAATTTTTATAATTTTTATAAGGAAAAAAAAGTATCCTTGCTTTAGAAGAAAACTAACGCGGGGCTGTCAAAATTGTAGCAATAAATTCAAAATATACAACGTTTCATCCAGTATGCGAATACTTTCTTCTGTTTCTTTTGTAAGTTTCTTCATCTTTAGTTTTACATCTTTCATCTTTAATTCTTTGGTGCGACTCACCATGCTAAGAAATTTTCAAGAGAATGATTGCAATCCGGATATATCTAATTTAAAATCAAATGATTTCCGGTGAATGAATTCTTTTTATGAAGATGCAACACGGTAATTTCCATTTCAGGAAAATTTTTATCTCTGAGGGCATCTAAAGAAATTGGAAGCAGCAGTAAAATGTGATACTTTAGTTCGAACGTTCCCTTTAAGAATTTATAGCTCCGTGAGTCGATCTCTTTACTATCTTTCAGGATTCAAACAATTTTTATAAGAAACTGAAAGTGGATCGAACACATTAGCGGCATATTAACTGATGTGCAAGAGAAAATAAAGTCATACTAGAAAATCGACGTTCTTCGAATTCGTCTTGAATTTATAGTAACGAATTGACAACTCATTTTTAATCTATAAAATTTCGTCCTCTGTTCAAAGCAAGTCCTTCTACAAGAATACTTCTCGTTTCGCACAATCAATGCAAAAAGCAAGGGAAATTCTTCGTGTGTATCGTAATTCAAACGCTTGCCTGAAGATTTTATAATACTTTTTCAAAAAAATGTTTTACTTGGAATATTACAATTATTTTCTGAATCGTCAAAAGTCTTGCAACGAATCATTAAAAAGATATTTTTTGTACAGTGCGACATCTGTTTCTCAAATAGAAAAGACCGATTCAGTTCAACCAATCAAACACGAGCGAAGTCCTTCGCGTATATTAACTCAAGCTCAGAATCATTAAGAAATACTTTGTTACTTGGAACATCATATATTTTCTGCCGTCAAAAAACTTGCAACGAATCATTAAAAAAAAAAAGAAAAAAACTTTGTACAGTACGTTCGACAGATACAGTTCGACTGATCGAACACGAACGACTTCGAAGTCAAAGAAATCATACACGTAGAAAGCTCGAACAGTTTCTATTCACAAAGTGGAATCAATGCGAGCGTAATTGTACTGTGGATTGCGGTATGCAGCGTAATTCTAACGCAATAGCGCGTCCCGCCAAGTTATTTCGCCGACGTCTATAACCTTTTGCCGCGTAAGCTGCAGATTTATTAACCACCCGGTGCATCGTCGCGCAGCTTGGGAATAAACGCGTTGCGCAAACGTGCCACGCTGACAGCGATAGATACGAAGAAGACGAAGAGTGGTGCGCAGTTGGAAGGGCAAGGGGGTTGGAAGAATGAAAAATGAGAATTATTTGGCGAGCAGCTTCAAAACCACGTAAATAATTCACGTGGCTTCGTGCGGCCACGAGTGAAATGGAAACGGGGGAAATAAAAAAATTCCTCTAGAATTCATCCTCATCAAGGGGATGCATGCTCACGTTTCACGGGTGGGAATCGATGGTTCCATTATCGATGGCGTGTTTCACGAGTAATTTGAGTAATTTTCAGGGAGCACCGCGAGTTTCCTTTTAACTTTAATGGGATTAAAGAGAATGGTGGATTCTTTGTCGTGGTTAAAAGTTGAAAGCTAAAAAGTTGTTATTGCAGATACGATGGCGTGTATCCCTTTTCACCTCAGGCCTTCTTCGTTGATCGTTTCACGACGTAATTCCATGTGCTTTCAAATTCGGCGAATTTTAAGTAAATCGATGAACACGAGAATTTAAAATCTGAATAAAATTATATCTTTCTCCTTTTCATTTCGTCTCTCACGCACGTGTGTTATAATAAATATAATGCTCGTAAATGTGACGTTTAAACAGAACCGTGATATTTAGAAATATAAAAAAAAAAAAAAAGGAAAGCGGACGAAGGTAACATTTCCGTGAGGAAGCGAAATTGGAGACGAGGTGTTGAATGCAGAGAAAGTAACTGCTAATTAATCTTTATTCACCTCTCTATTAATTGATTTATTTTTGCATATTCGTATTCTTTGATTTCTGCATTCTTTATACAATAAAGTGGAAGTGTTGCAACATATTTCGCATTAAATAACGTTCAATGATACTCTAAAGGATATTCCTGCGATAATATTACTAATATTACGAAGAAACAAATGTTTATGCAATTTCATTTCCACGATACAGCGTATCAATCGAGAAATATCAATACTGATTACTGCTGCTTTCATTTAACTTAAAAAAAAAAAAAAGTAAAAGGCCAAAGTATCTGGCTTACTTATAACGTAATGATACTAGCATTTTAATAAACGTTAAACGAAACAATCGTCAAATGCAATTGAAAAATTCGTGAGACATCTTGCCGAATTTTACGGTGAAAACGGAGAGGTTCAAGGCTTACGTCGATAAAAGCGAGGCAGTTTTCATGGAAAGTTACTCGAGCACGTCGACGATACTTTCGTCGCGAATTTTACGAGCGCGAGCCATTTTTCGTCGACCCCGCTGTCGGTCGACATTTTCACAGAGGTCGTAAAACGGATAAGCGTTTTCACTTTTCGATGATCAAACTACAAATTCAAGTAACCTGTATTCTACAGTATTCTACAAAAACAATTACAACGACGCGACTAATTAATTGCGGATTGAAACGTGAAAATTAATAACATTTCAAATGCGACTAATTAATTGTGGAGGTCCGCGTAAGGTTCGCTGTTTTCATGGACGTACGAACCAATGTGATAAATTCTCAACGTTCCTTTCATTCTTCCGCGACATTTATATTTCTTCCATTTTATCTTCAAATTTCCCATACGTACGTAAATTTTACTTTCAATGCTTCAACTCGAGCGTTCCGTGCACTTTTTCCATTCCATGTCTAAATTCTCCGTTATAATACATTCTCACAGCGATCTTTCTCCCGTCTCGAATCAACCGAAATTCAAAGCGCGTCTTCACGCGCTACCTCTCCTCTCAGAAGAATTCTTCATTTGAAAGGAGGGGGGGGGGGAAGAAAAGGAAAAGGAGGAAACGAGATCACGAAATGGTTGGAAGACCAGATATCGAAGAAAGTAGAACAAAATAGGCGAATTCAGAGCACGTGGATCGTGTCGAACGATCGTTAATCTTCTTCCTCGCGATCTCTCGGTTCGAAACCACGAACGACAAGTGGTCCCGGGATTCGATCACGCGAGACAAGGAATATCGCGTGAAGAAACGGGATACCACGGTCCCCTCTCGGTCTCCAAAGAACAAACGGAAGGAATGGACCCCCTGTTCACCGTTTATTTTACGACGTGAAAAAGGTGGCAGCACCATCCGGATGGTGAAAGTCCTTCGACGAAGAGGAAGGAGTGGTGGTGCACATATAGAGGGGCGAGAGGGCGCGGCTTGTCCAGACACTCTTTGTCCTGACAACGACGATGACGGCGACGACCACGACGGCCACGATGTCGCCGAAGTTCCTGTTCCTTCTCGGATCCCTCTTTCTGTTCGCCGGTGAGTACACTGTAGCTGTTGCTACGTCTTCTCTATTTCCGTTTCATTCACGAACATCGAGCATCGCGGCAACAGGTTGTTTTTTTCACATTTTCTTTTTTTTTTTTTTGAAGAATTAATGGAAAGAAAGTTGAAACTTTCGAACTAACTAAAATTTCGAGATCTCGAAGTTTGAATTTAGATGGAAGTTACGAGTTTTAAAATTAAATTTCGAGACGAGTTCAGGTTGGATTGACGTTGATGTTGTGCAACGTTTCTAGATCCATGTTTGATGAGCACTCTGGAAAGAGTTCTCTAGTTTGGACTGAGATCCGGTTAAATTGGATTTTAGGTAATTTATTTGTTCTTTAAAGAGCTTTAGCAGAGCAGAGGGTTAAGTAACGGAGTCGGGATATCGTGTTTGGAGTGAAAGTTTAATTGGAAGATCGAGAATCCTTGGTGATAAGCCGGATTTCTCGCTGAAGAGAAACACCTGGCCTTCTAGGCGTCGATTCTTCAAATGCTCGCTGCAGGTGAAAGTTGTTTTCGACATTTACAGAGTTTCCTTTGGATCGGACTTCTACGGGTTTCTACGAGAACTTTCGGCTAGAGGCTATTGTTCCTTAATTCGCTCGGATAACGTAGGCTTTGATCTATTACAACTTTATAGTCTTCTAATTTTCCTCGATGAAAAAAGAAAAAAAAGAGAGAAAGAACAATTACCTTTAAATTAACTACTTTTAAACTTCTGTTAAAAAAACTGAAATGTTAATTAATGGAAATACTTGGGAAAAATAAACAGAGACTCTGAAAGTTTTGTGGTTGCTTTACGATCGCCTTAAATGCCTCGGCGCCATGAAAGTTCTGGTGACTTCAACGATTGACGCGACGACAAGACACGTCAAACGGCTCCTTAAGTAGAACTATATATACTAATTCGATCACTGTACAGACTGACAACTGACAAATATTTCTTTCTTTCCATTGTACATAGAAACTGGAAAACTTTTTAATCCTGATGAAACTTAAAACATTCGAAACAATGTCAATAATCCTTCTCGAAGACAACTCTCTAAGAGATAAATCTTTCGACGATGAAATAAAATTCGCGAAAAATTGATCTCTCGTTATCTCGTCGATAAAGTAAAATTCACAAGACCACCTTAGTCAACGTAACAAAGACGAATTGTCCGGAAGTGGCATCGATCGTGATTACGGATCACGATTCACGATCGCGGATAAACGAAGGGCCACGTTCGAGGTTTGTTCGAGCGAGGATGTTTGATGAAGGCGAGAAGAATGGTAGAGAGAGAAAGAGAGAGAGAGAGAGAGAGAGAGAGAGAGAGAGAGAGACGGACAGACAGACGGAGAACCTACTTTGGAGAACCGCTGTCGCTTCCCTCCCCACCCCCCGTCTCGTTGCCCTGACATTTCCAAGACTTTCTACTTCTACGGGGGTTCACCGACCTCGATGTGTTCGGTCTACGATCTCTGGAGATCGTAGCTTCCAACGATCGCGACATTTTCCTCGAACGATCCTCACAGCACGATGTATCACCAATCTGTGCCCTTTTTATTTAAATGTCAGCAACGTTTCTTTCTCATTCCCTCTCTCCAGCTCGATCGTGGAGAATCTCGAAGATAAAAAGTAGTACGTACATCTTCGAGACATGTTCATGTAAAATTTGTACACTTATGGCTGAGGAACGAGATTATTTTGTTGCTTTTGAGGAAAATAAAGAAATTGAGCGTTTCTTAACTTGGCAACGCTTTTAAATGAGCAACTTCCTCTTGATCGTGTCGTTAGATTCTTTGTTGGAACGAAGAAAGGAGGGAATGCCACGTTGTGAAGCCACGTTCAGAGATCGTGCTCGTGGACCGAGAGACGTTTATGTAATCGATGATAGAAAGTACGTAATTGTCGGTGGTCGAAGAGCTGGAGAATGAGACGCGGTATCTCCTTCCTTTCAAAATACAGAGCAAATGAAAATTCCACTATATTCCACGATTGTTGGAAGGGGAAAATCTGAACCGATTATTCTGCACTGTTATTAAGCAGATGAAAATATTAAAAAGATTTCTTGATTTCGTTTCTGACGTCGTTTTTGAATTTCCAGGAATCCAGGTCAGAGCACAAGACGAGGAAGGGGCTGATGGAATTGACGCAAATGCCGAGGAATTGTGCCAAGATAGGCCAGGAGACGAGTATTTCCGGTTGAACGTTGAGGGAGACTGCCGGGACGTCGTAAGGTAATTTTCCTCAATTTAACGTCCGTCAACTGACATTTAAGCGACATTTAACTTGAGAAACAACTGAAACAACTTACTCTACGAAGTGTCAGACAAATGACAAATATTTATTACACATTCGTAGTAATAAGAAATAACAATCAGTACTTCTATCATTCGCGAAATGTCCTTCAAAATCCACAAAAAATATCTGGAAAGAATATTTCGAAAGAATAACATTCAAGACGTCGCGTCATTGTCCAAAAATAAAAATTTTGTTCCTCGAAAAGACGAAAGACGATCAGTTTCGATCGTTCGTGGTTGGATCGTAGTCAAGCCAAAGGTCAATGAAATTAACGGTAGAATAGCGTGATTTACGCGAAGGATCGATCACGGAGGAGCCGAACGGCGAATTCCTTCGGCTCCTTCGCGATCGAATTCCGCGTCGAAAGGTTCAAGGCGAGCCTGATACTGGATACAGGACTCGCTTTCCAGCCGATGACGACAGACAGCGTATCCTGACTCACTCGGACGGATAAAATATTCTATCGTCAAGGACACGCGTGCAAAAATATCCTCGGAGCAAGAACGGCTGAGAAATCCTGTCCAAGTACGTCACGCGTCCTGAGAGAATTCGAAGAATTGTGGATCGTAAAACTTTATTCCGGTCCTCTCGCCTTCATTCGTTCTTTATACGAATTTCTTACAAAATTATTTTCACGACAGACCTAGACCTTGACTATTTTCCAAATAATAATTCGTCTGCAAGTCGAATTGTAAATTCGTTCCTATTTTCATTCTTGTCAATTTTTACGTAGGATCATTCGTTGAATTCAAATTCTGCTGGATCCTGCACGATCGATCACGAAAGTATTCAACTATCCGAACATTTTCTATTCTATGATTGATGATAATTTTGATAATAATCTTTCATACTTTTAGTATTCGTGTATTTAGTTCATGTATAATAGACGTTTCTACTGACTTGGAGCAGAATAAAATAAACGTCTATGAAAAACAAGTTTCTTTTAAATTTTCTCATTGCTTTATCGTATTCAAGGAAATATATGGTCGGATGGTTTCACACGTTACGCTACAAACTATAAAAGAATTATAATCTATTCGTATGTAACGAATGATACTCCTATTCATCGTCGATCTGACGAGCATTTTACAAAAATAATAACAGCAGAATTTTCAATCGTAAAATTGAAGCGAGAACGACGAATCATAAATATTCGAAATTTAGAAGATTAGAGAAAGGAACAAAGAGTGTTAAACTTGAATCACAGATGCGACAAAGCGAGCGAGATCGGGGTGACCAGGTTGGCGACCGTACGATGTCCGACAGGTCTGGCATTCGATATCGAGCGTCAGACGTGCGACTGGAAGACAAACGTGAAGAACTGCGACCAGCTGGAGAGTAAGCGATTCATTTCGATTGCTATCTAATTAAACGGCGTCCCATTTGCTTTCTGTCCGATACGAACAGGTGCACGAAATCCGGCCTGAAGCAAATCACGTGTCCCAGCGGGCTGGCCTTTGACTTGGACAAACAAACCTGCGACTGGAAGGGCAAAGTCACCAACTGTGACAAGCTCGAGAGTAAGTCGATGTATCGACCAGGCTGAACCGGTGTACCTGTCTCCGTTCCCCCTTTCCCCCGGGAAATGCGTTTCGAAACAGTGAACTGCTTTTCATTTTGTTCCTTTCCTTTTCAATATTTTATTTACTATCTTGATGATACTTTCCTTCAAACTTGAAACTTGTACATTGCCTTTTTATTTCTTTAAGTGCTAAGGAAATTGGATTGGAGATGATTTATATATATATATATATATATATATATATATATATATATATATATATAGCTGTACACCTTAATATTTCAGGCGCGACGGATAATATTAGATTTTATATATATATATATATATATATATATATATATATATATATATATATTCAGCAGGCATAGGTCATTAGTTAGACGCATTTCCCGCAGAAAGGACAAAATTTTGAGATTTTTTCCTCTCTCCTTTTTATCAAGGATGATGAAAAATGCTTCGTAAGATACGGAGAAGGCCGGTTCCTTCGTAGACTCGCAACGTAGCACGCACCATTCTTAAGGCAGTACTAACGCACCGTCACGCACTTTCGATATTCATCCACGACCCTTCTCGTCTCCAAGAGAATTAAAGAGAACCGAGAACGAAGACGCCAACTTCTTTTTTTTTTTTTTTTT